ATGCAAGCAGGGTTGCGTTATTATAAAGAGGCTTAGGCAGAGTTTTCGTTTAGAACTACTTTTATTAATAAGGATTTATAACGTGTTCTATATATTACTGCTGACTAAGGACTCTGCTGACCCTCTGTCAGGGCAGGAGTACCTACAGCCTTTGCTAGTAGAGACAGAAGAAGAGGAGGCGTAAGAGGTCAAAGATATAGTTGACGTTAAGAGAGTAGGCAAAGCATAGAAGGTATAAGCAAGATAGATAGACTGGCTAGAGGACCTGATGTTACGGCACAAAATGCCCTATGGCCTAGAGAGGCGTTAGGGCAGGGCATGGCATTGGCCAAGCATTGGCTGCGCACCAAATGCTCCACCAGTATATATATAATTAAATATTAGACTAACCTAATAAGGAATTACTAGGCTTAATAATATTAGAATAAAAGTAGACTTACTTTCTTATATTTTTAATTAAAGATAATTAATTTTTCAGAGGAAAGAGGTAATGTGATAGATAATGCATTTCCTCTGCTATAATGCAGGAAATGCATGTGCCAGCCACATACTCAGGAGGCAACACTTATAACTAACTCGTAATAGCAAGCAAACTCCTGCTGTAGGGCGCTTGTCAAAGTGTGTGAGCTATCCGGACGGATTACGAATAAAGAGGTTAGCCTTACCTGATTAGGGAAGCCTAAACTTCACTATACAGTAGGAGGCCGGATTAAGAACTATGAATGCTCTGTGGCCTATGGCGTGGCCCACGCACACACAGGCCTCACCCGCTGGCGTTGGAGTATATATATCTGTGCATAGCCACATTGTAGATAGATTCTCCAGCTTTCGTTTAGCAATCTATGGACTATTGACTTGTTCTAGTTTTAAGCTATTGCAGGATCCTTAAACGAGCTTTGGCCTTTCTGATTTTGTTCTCAGCCTTGCCACAAGTGCCATCAGCATTATCGTTATCTTCTAGAAGTATCTAATCCTTATCCTAATTAGGAGCAATGATTTCTTCTAGAAAAACGAGATAATCAGCTTGAGTAAGCTGTCTATCTCCTCCTGCGCCTGTATAGAAGTATAGAGGGCTCTTGTAATTCCATCTAATATACGCAAATACATATCAAATTTGATTGCGCTGTTTTAATCGAAATTGGATCTTTGTAAAAGTATTTTGTGCTTCTGTGCCATATTGATGATGCACTATAGCTTGACGTTATAAGCCATATGTAAAATGGCATTTATTACTGTATTTATACTACTTAAATTTTTCTAAATTCTAATGCCAGCGTTCAAATCCCTATATTTCACATATCTTAATATTTTTAGAATAAATATATTTTTTTTGCTATGTCTTATAAGTGTCTACTCTAAATTAAGCTATATTTCTTTGAATTACGCGCTCAGATTCTTGAGCTAGATTAATAGAGCTTGCTATAGCATATAAGAGGCAGATGCAGCACGAAATAAGCTATCTTTAATTGTCTTAATAGCCTTATATTAATAAGGCTCTAAAGCAGGTTTTCAGCCGCAATTATAGACGTTATTATTACAGCGTATAGATTGTGATTTGAGGATTTGATAACCTGTTGCTTTTGGTATACTAAGTGATTCAAATAGCTTTTTTCGAGGTAATTTGCCAGCTGTAGCCTGCGCAGCGCAAAGAAGTCGCGTACGGCGTGGAGTATCGACTATTGTATTTGGCTCGCGTGGAGGCTCTGTGGGTATCAAAATCGACGAATCAGGCTGTTGACAGTTTTTTCGAGTAGTTTTGCGAATTCTGGCCATTTTTCAGCTGATTTGAATAGCAATTGGTGGAATAATAGAGGATAGAAAAAAGGGGGTTGCTTTGAAGATGGGACGGAAGTCTCACTATTTCCGTCACCTAGCTCCGGCCCAAAAGAGCGCCGAAGCTCGTTATCCAATGATATCCCCTGTCTCCAGAAAGCCGCATTCATACTACGTTCTACGGATCTACCGATGCACCTGCTCTTGCTGGGTCGTAACAGAGATGATAATGGACAGCTCTGACTCATCAGGCAGGCAGCTCTGTGCAAATCTTGCCTCAGTTCCTCAGACTAAGCCAGTGCTGTCTACAGAGCTTTGTCTTGGTCAGCCTGTCATTGAGGGCGTCTGAGTGACTGAGGCAATGCAAATCGAAGCATACCATATCATACCATACCATACCATCCTCTACTTCAGTTCTACCCGTTATGATGGCTATATAATTGATGCTGCTGGGTGGAGGGAAGAGAAAAAGCAAGAAAAAAATGCCCCCCTCTCCCACACCACCACAATGCGAAGGCCTCTTGCGTGGGGGCTGCTGCTGATGATGCCGAAGAGGAGCAGAGAAGGGCAAAGATTTAAAAAAGGGGCAAAATGGGGGGAAAGGGGAGGGAGGAGCGCTGATGCGAAAACCATGCCCGCTAAGAATGTGATCCAGTCCAGTCCAGTCCGGCAAACGGAAGAAGATGCAACAGAGACAGCCCGCGCGCTGGAGAATGTAATCTATATTGAAATCGAGTCTGCTCAACCGACAGCCAGCCACCGAATTCTTCCCATGTGTATGCAAAGCGTGCTCGCCACGCTGGAAAATCATCGATAGTCTACTCCCTGACTCAGACGCCTTCCCCTTCCCCAAGAAAAAGCCTATCTCAATCGTCATTGGTCAGCGGGACATGACACGTCAGGTCCCGTTCGTGTAGTGAGTCCCTCCCCTGGCATATATACAGGTATGTAGGTATGTGTGTATGTAGGTACACTGTCCTGTTCCGAGCGTCCACGTGCATCCTCGCGTCTCAAGCCCCCCAACCCAGAAAATAACAAAACAGATAAAAGCGTCCTGATACCCTCCTTCAAAAGCACGTCGAAGCCGCCTGAACCGCTTATTCCTCCTGGATGGGAGCTGGGATCCAGATCCAGGTGTCTAAGATGGGCTGAGAGAGATGCCTGTATAGTTGGACTTGAGAAGAAAAAAAAAGATAGGGCCGTTTATCCCGATTAAGTCGATGAACAGACAGACAGACGCTCACGCCTCACGCCTCCCTAAACCGACCCGACCCAATGCAATATGATGCGTGTGTATGCCCCCTGGCCCCACTCTTTCCCCTAGGGGCAGAGAAGATGCGTATGTAAGAAGTGTACGTACAGCGGCGAATGGATGTGTTTCGGTTTTGTTGAATCCGTCACCATATCCTCCTTTCACCCCTGAAACTCCCGATGCGGTAATGCAAGCAGGGTTGCGTTCATTCGCTGCCATCGCGCCGCCCAGGCTTTGCGGTACTTTGGCTCCAATCACTGGCCCTCCTGTCCTGCGCTGAGAGCCTGCCCTCCCTCGTTTTAACCGTGAAACGACCCTGCTGCTGCTGCCGTGGCCCGGAGGCGGCCCTATCAGTCAGACCCCCATTCATCTCAACCTCGTCTTCAATAATCGGCGGGCTGAACAGCGGATTCCGCCTCCGCTCCGAATTTCTCGCCAGATCCATATCCATCTCCAGCTCCTCCTCCTCCTCCTCCTCATCATCATCACCATCATCACCACCGATAGCCTTCGTACTCGTGGCCGCATTATGAGTCGTAAGCCTGGGTTCCTCTCCTCTCAACAAACCACCTTCCTCGTAATTATCAGCATCCGTCTTATCAGCATTCAACCTCTCGACATTCTCCTCCGTCAACGCCATGCCTTTTCCCGCGTTCGTGACTGTTCTTTGATCCGAATAGTTCTCTCCGCCCCCACCACCAGCACCACCAAGAGGCGAACCAGACGAGAACGGTAAACCCGCCGAAGCGGACCCAACAAGGAGCGGGCTACAGCTTCCCAGCCCTCCGGATATAACGCCTGTTCCTGCCCCTCCATCAAGCGGCGAATATGGGCCCATTTCCGTAGCAGCCAGCAACTTGTCGTCCCGCAGATTAGCGGCTTGTTCCTCTGCATCTGCGCGACGGAGACCACGATCCGCTTCGCTGAGGGAGCTGGGTGGATCGCCAGCCGTGCGGCGGGATCTGATTTTTTCTTCCGACATGGTGGGGTTGAGGTGTGGGCGTTGGTGATGTTGGGCACATCTTCCGTGGGAATGTGTGGGTGACATAGATAGAGCTGGCCTGTATGAGGATTTTTCTTGTTCGGCGAGGCTAGGGTAATCGCTTCCTGGACAGTCGGATGAATGACCGATGCCGCAGGAAGCGACGTCCAGGCTGTTATTGTTCTGGGTTTTTTGGATCATACTTGCTGCACCCTCAGCCCATTTCAGGATTATCTTTTCTAGTTTGTTTCGTGGTGTCGGCTTGGAAATATAGTCATCCATACCGGCGCGCTTACATTTCTCGCGGTCGCCTTGAATTGCCGAGGCAGTCATTGCCACGATAGGTATCCTCTGGATAGCCTGGATGTTCTTGAAAGGGGCGTGGTAACGAAGGGTATGCGTGGCCCGGTACCCATCGAGGATAGGCATTTGCACATCCATGAGGATAACGTTGGGCAGAGGCGTGCTATTGGCGGGAGTGGTGCCTGGAGTCAGGGAATTCGCCGGGTTGGGCGATTGAGCAGTCTCGGCCGCTTTGAGCAGATAATCGAGGGCCTCTTTGCCATTCCATACGGCGGAGACAGAGAATCCCAGATTCTTAATTGTTTTCAGCGCGATCTGTTGGTTGATTGCATTGTCCTCGACAACTAGGATATGGAAGTCCCTCTTCTGTGCTTCTGTCAGTGCCGCTTGAGGTGGACTGACATTATCAGGAGCTTTGTTGTGGATGCCAGCATCCCCGTTGGGAATTTCTCCGATAGCGGGCGACTGTGGAGGTGGTGTACCACGCCCAGGCATTGCGATCGATCCTCGTGAAGAATTGTTGCAGGATAAAGAGTGCTCAGACTGGAAACGATCTGGCAGCGGTCCGATGTCTACCAAAGGGGTGGCAGTACCTTGAAATTGAGGCTTGTTGAATGGCACTGAGAAGGTGGCAATAGTTCCATGGTCGAGTTTCGACTGTAGAGAGATCGTGCCGTGCATAAGTTCAACCAGCTGAGACGAGCATGAGCATGACCGTTCAAGTCCAGAATTAGTAGGAAGTGCTTCAACTTACGTTTTTGGAGATGGTCAAACCCAAACCGGTCCCGCCAAATCTCCGAGCTGTACTGGAATCTGCTTGACTGAAGGGGCTGAAAAGTCGTTTCTTGACTTCTTCTTCGATGCCAATGCCAGTATCCTCCACAGTGAACTCAACTGTGACACTTTCAAATGTCTCTTTCAGCAGTCGGACACTCATCTTGACCCATCCTTCAGATGTGAACTTGATACTGTTGGTCAGCAGATTCGTGAGAATTTGACGCACGCGTCCAGGGTCGCCCAGCAGTACGAAGTCCTCAGCTTCACCCAGGCGGATATCGCTAATGAAACGAAGGCCCTTCCGTTCTGCGGCGAATGAAAGCATCTTGCAGACATCGTCTATCACCACAGAGAGGCTGAACTGTACTTCTTCAATGTCCAGTCTGCCCGATTCCACTTTGGAGAAGTCGAGAATATCATTGATTACGGTCAAAAGGCTGTTGGCGGAGCGCTGGATGTTCACGGCAAAATCGCCTTGCTCCTCGTCGAGTGCGGTATCGAGCATCAGCTCAGACATGCCTATGATGCCAGCAATCGGAGTGCGAATCTCATGAGACATGTTAGCCAAAAAGTTGCTTTTCAGTCTGCTTGCTTCTTTGGCGGCCGCCTCGTTGGCTAGCAGCCGCACATTCTCTTGCTCTTTCTTCTTCAGCTCTGTACAGTCCATGCTGATGCCTACCAAGCCATCAACACAAGCTTCGTCCATTTTGCCGGCAGCGCTCTTCTTCCCCTTCTGGGGCACCAGCCGCGATTTATACCACCTTCCACTGCTTTCAAACTCCGATGCCTCGAAAGAAGATTGTCCATTCAATATCCTTTCAATGGATTCTTTATATTTTGGCAGGAATTCCATCCCTTTAAAGACGTCGTAGACGTTCCTGCCCATGGCATTCGCATGGAAGTTTGGAAGAGGAGGAATTTTGTCGTTGCCTAACATTTTTCCCTCAAAGAAGGTGATTTCCCGATCCTGGTTCAGACACCACATGGTCATCTCGGAGTGCTTCAGCACATTGACCAGTTGCTCCTTCATCTTACGGGAGGCTTCTCTGGCATCAACAATCTGCGGAATATGAGTTATCATGAGTACGAAGAACAATCAAGGGGTGGATGGATTTCTACCTCTTGTATGTCAGTACAGCTACCAAACCATTTCAAAATCTTTCCACTTTTGCTAGCGCGCAGAGGCAGTGCTCTCCCAAGCATCCACCGCCATTCTCCGTCATGACGTCGGCATCTATACTCGGTGTGGTACTCGTCTCCAGTCGCTAGCGAGTGATGCCATCTTCTGACAGTCTCAGTCATGTCATCTGGATGAAATGGCAATTTCCAGCCAGTTCCAAAACATGCATTTCTTGGCAGTCCAGTATAGTCGAACCAACGCGCGGAGAAATAATCGTGGTATCCATCTGGGCGTGTTGTCCACAACATCTGAGGCATTGAGTCGCAGATCAGCTGGAACTGTTGTTCGTTTTGTTCGTTCTGTGATGCCAGCTTCTCGGTATATTCGGTAACGTCTTTAAAAGCGACCAATCCGGCGAAGAAATCACCGGTGTTCTGGTCGAAAACAGGCTTACCACTGACATCGTAGTTTCTGCGCTTACCCGTTCGAGGTTCAATCATGCCGATTTTCCAATTGCTGAAGCCTTTTTGATTCCTGCAGAGCAATGTCAAGGGCAACTCATCTTGTCGCAGCTCTCTACTGAAGTCTGGTGCATATGCCTTGAATCTCGAGATGAAGTCATAGCTGGCTTCGGTGGTGGGATCTGCAACGACAGCCAGCATTCTTCGAGCTGCTGGATTAGGAAATACAACACTTTCGTCTTTCCACATCGCCAACACTGGTATCTCCATCGCTGACAGCATTGCATCTTTCATCCTAGTGATTTTTTGGAACTCCGTAAACGCGCCGGATTTCGAGCACTTGGCCGGCGCGCCCAGGGGAGGGAATGGAGTTGCGTTAGGGTTTGAATCAGATGGTGAGGTAACGACAGAGGAATGTGTTGAACTAGATCTCGATGAGGCGGGAGTACTAGAACGCGCTGAACCTGAGTTCAAATGAGAGTTGGTCTTGGGCAAACTTGGCCTTGATACGATGTGTGACTGCACGTGAGACTTCTTTTGTGCAATCGATGTACTTGTGAAGGATAAGCTGAAAAACTTTTCCCTTTCTATATGCCAGATCGAGATGATCATTTTAGCCGGAGTCTGACAAGTAGGGGACCGCGGCTTGTGATGTCTATTGTGGCCACTGGGGCCTAACACCTTGTCATGCTGAGAGGAAACCACAACGTCGACCACTGTATCGTGCACCAACGTTTTATCTCGTGTCGGAGCGCCGTCCGGTATGGTGGTAGAGTGACTGTTCTGCCGCTGGCCTGCAGAGATTGCGACGGGTGTAGTCTCTCCGCTGACAATGGCGGCAAGACTAGACTGCTCCCCTTCGAACGCGCCATTGTCGAGTCCGTTGGACAGGTTATCGAGAAACTTCTCCCAGCTCACCCATACCGGAACACCATCCTGTATCATGTCTACGCCGATTTGTGACAGTGTCTGACCTTTGAGCATCTCGGTTACTGTATTATCGTTGTTTGGCGGTTCCTCCGTGCCTCGGTTGTCTTGATTGTCAAGCCCGAGCAGTCTGCCCATTGCTTCATTGGCCAGAATTATTGTCTTCAAGGAGGTGAGGACGATAACAGGGGTAGGCAGATACTGCAAAGCAGCTAGCGCAATTTCGGTCGCCATCGGAAGCTGCGGAAGGTTGATATGCAGTTCCATTGCACCTTTGGCAGTCTCGGTGTCGGTGAGGGCGGGCACGGGCGGACGCTGGGAATGGGGCTCTTCGTAATAGTTGGTAATACGCGATAGGGATCTTTTCAGAGAAGTATAGCTCTCCCCGTCCTCATCATTCTGAGGCGTTCCTGGTATCAGAGATTCATTCTCTCCTGCGGCCTGCGAGATTCCCGTCATCACCTGATGGAAGTGTGCGGGTCAAGCATCCAAAACATATGACTAGGGAACGGCCGCTCTCGCAAATAGAATGCTAGCCAGGGTTGGGTTGCAGTGATTCGCAGACAGTAGTCTATCACCTTCGAAGGTACAAAGAGCGATGTGTACAATAGTATGAATACTCACTCTGCAAGCGCATGACAAGCATGGACAACGATATACGTAGTACTACTAGTAGTACTCGAGCGCAAAGTTGAGTGCAGCGCAGTGGCTTGCAATGGGTGCGGTCTTGGCAGGATTACTGTAAGTTTCGGAGAGGTGGCACTAAGGGTGGAGAAATGACGACAGGGGCTGCGGCCTGTTCAAGGCTTGTTGGGTGGGGGTTTTATTAATAAGTACTACGAACTACGTATTCCAAGTCCAAACTCCCAAACGCCTACTGTTTTAACATGTGAAATCACCTTGATGATATTGAGTATCTATGAGGGAGATGCGTTTTGCGCATTCCATCGTTCTAGAAAAGTCCACAGCATACTACCAGCATATCAGGTAGCAGGCCCAAGCCTGCCGTTGGTACCTTGGCGTGCTCGTCCGAGTGTCCGGCCATTTTATTGACGTTGATCCGGGTACTCCGGAATGAGGTTGAGCACGGTAGAGGCTCTCTTTCAAATCATCTCACTGGTGGCATGGGAATCACATCCTCTCTAATATCGCATAACGCAAGAAGGCTTCAAAACTGTCTTATCTCACGGCTTCCTCGCTACTCCCCGTAGTCGGACGTAACCCAACCACTCACTACCATCCTCGATCCGGGTCACTATCGTTGATAGGACCTCACACACCTGTTCAAGTGCCGCTTCCCTTTTCGATGCGTCCTCCAACACGCCCAGCATTGATGCACCCATCAACTTGACCCATCCTCGGAGCCCCCCCTCGTCGCCTGTTGTCAGTTTCGTCGGTCTATACTCGACTTCAAGCACCTCGACAATGAATCCAATGTCTTCCAGCGTCTTTCTCATCCACACGTCTGAAGGGAAGAACCACGGCGAAGCTTCTTGTGCTTGATGAATAGAGAGTCCTTGATGAAGGAGGGCTGACATGAGAGCTGTGTGAACCTCGGCCACATTTCCTGCACCTCCCATCTCGAAGACGAAAGCTCCACCCGTCTTCAAGGCCGAGAAGCATGCCCGAAGTGTATTTACGCGGGTGGAGGAATCTCGCAAAATCCAATGCAGGGCGGCGTTTGAGACCCTTCCAAAACCTCAGTCAGTGATTGTTCCTACCTCTTGCATCCAAGAACCCAACTCACACTTTGTCCCATACTCCACTCACAGCTTCGATGTCCTGCTCGAGATACCTGCAATCCAGTACTGTGAACCGTGCTTTTGAGCTGCCATAATCCTGATTTGCTGATGCAATCAGCGAAGCCGAAGCATCCACTCCATAAACTTCCGCTACCGAGTGTAGATAGTTGCCAGTGAATTTGGCGTCACCACAGCCAAGATCAAGCACTCTATCGGTAGGCTGAGGATCTAGATATTGGAGAACTTTCTGGGTAAGCTTGGGCACGAATGACGCAGCAGCAGAATAGCTCTACCTGTTGGTCAGTTCCAGAACAAGGTTCAACAAAGGTATCGGCAATACCTGTGCTGACCAATGATCTTTGTCTTTGTGTGGTTGCGACATGGTGGATTACATCTAGGGAGATGGTGTCCCAGCCTCAGCCTCTCTAGGTCGTGGTGCCTTGTTCGCGTACCTTAGCAGCGGATCTTAGCAGATTCTTCCGGAGCAGAGAGCCCCCAACACATGACAGGTCCTGCAAGCAATTGTGAATCAAGAATAACTTGCGGATTGATAGATTGATATAGTTGCGTTCTGAGCGCTTTCGCGGCATCCTCTGAAGCAATCTGCGCCGATATCGGACGTTGGTGACTTGAGCAGCCTAGAGAGACCTTGGGGGAATATGGCCCAGGGCAGGGTTCACGGTGTGTGTTGGTCGGAATCACTCATCAGGACCAGAATGAAGAATGCCAAAATGATCTGTTCGAGGAGGTTGTCAGAAGAATTCTACCGTAAGCAATGAGCGTGGCACTTACAAGTGTAACTAATCCACCAATAAGGAAGAGTTCCCAGCCACCTGCACATGCTTGACCCTTGACCATGCCCCTTTGAAGCCGCCAGAATCGATAAGCACCAATGATGATGTTGATAAGCGCGGCGGCCTGGCACAACGAGCCCAGCGGTACACCAAGAACAAAGAAACTCAAGTTCATGTGAGGAAGATGACCAGCTTGAAGAATAAAAAGCTGTGTGGTGAAGATGCCTATCATTGACAGAGCCAACGAGGTTCGTAGCCATGCTAGAAATGTACGTTCGTTCGCTAAGTGATCGCGAAAAGCCTTGGGCTCAACCAATACAGCGGCTTCTTTCGACCAAAGATCTCTCAACCAGGCTTTCCGGATCCCACTTCCGCGTATTGGCTCTGCAGCGCTCCCCGAATCTGTACGCGTAGGGTAGGCATCGAGTTCGGTTCCTTCGCCATAAGGCGAGCGACTGTGGATATGAGGGACTGAAGAAATGGGGATTCTGATGACGTCGCCACTCTCCGCTCCTGTCCCTTGCTCCATCTCAGATGAAGTGACCTACCCCTCTCAGCTTCGGTGCCGGTAGTCAGACTGAAGAACACACTCCAAATACATGCATGTAGAGCTACACAAATGAGAAGGTGACTCGCCGCGTTCCTCACCTTCCTCACCTTCCTACCCGGTGTGCCGTCGGAAAAGCGCAGAATTCGGATGCAGTTCTGTCCTACCCATATGCATAGATCTAGGATGTTGTCACCCTCACATGAGTCTTCTGGTGCTTCACTGTGCTCGCGATAGATGTCCTCCTTGCAGAGTGTATATGGTAAAAGATGGTAGGGGCATGATTTATGGCTGGAATAGACTTCACCACCAGCGGTGAGTATCACAGGCAACAAGGTGCTCAACTAAAAAGGCAGGAACAATCGCGCAATTGAAAATGGTCAGTGACAATTGAACTGTAACTACGATACTAGTACTCAGTGTTCCTATAGCGATTGATCTTCGACACTACTGAGACTGATTGTCAAAATCGGTTGTGCGGTTGTGCAGATGTGACGGGCCATCAGCTGCCACATGGATGCTCGGTCATGGGACTTCCGGAGCCAGGACCGGAGGACCGTCTTGTAACAGGCGCTTACTGTACATACTGGAAGCCGGATAAGCTCCCAGTCACCTTTAAATTAGGATACGCAGTAAACTGCCTGTTTTTGGATTCCTTCCGTTCATTATGTCCTAGGAACATCAACGTTATCACGCGCATTATCACCAATACTGCTCTTCTCATCACAAGCCAGTGTAGTAAAGCTACGGACCGTGTGTTACCGCTTGATTATCTTCTGGACTTTGGTCTGGCACCCTGAATCCCATGCCCAGTGGCATCTCCAGAGGTTTGTCCCATGTTGCTGGCCTATTGTTAATGCCTGCGATTTTGACGCAAAGCTCATTGGGCAGGTAGGCTGGTTGTCCCTGTGGCGTCCTTGCGCAGCTGTCTTGACGTCAGCCACAGTTCGAGAGCAGATATTCCTTGCTCGGTAGGCAAGCGACCTGGTGACTTACTAAAGCAATGCTGCTTCGCCATCATAACGATGCTGCAAATTAGCTCTTCGAGGGTTCAGCTGCTCCTCGAAGCGACGAGTACGAGCGTCTGACATGCGAATGTGTCTGGCCAACCACTCCTTGGCAGTCTCTACTTAATGAAGTTCAGTTTCCACCCACAAAAGTTTAATTCTGAGGTTCAAAACCTCGGGCACAATAGTAAAAAGCGGAGTAGAAATGAACTTACACTCTATTCTTGTACGCCGATTGCCCTTCCCGTGACGGAGATCTTCCTCTAGGCCCCGAATCCACGCCTCCCGAAACATCTTTTCTCCTTTGTCTATAGCTTCCTGGTGCTCTTTTCGTTGTACAATGAGATCATAGGCTTCTTGAGCACGCGTTTTGGAACGAAGGTTTGGCATGATAGGGAAGTGAATTGTTGTTTGGGTTGCAAACAAGCAGCGATACGGGTACCTGCCAAATCCGTCTTGGTGGGATATATGAAATAGGTAAAGGATTGAGATGAAGAAGGACTCCTGGCAAGATAAGAGAATCCAAGACCGTTGAATCAAGGTCCAGAGTGAAGACACCAACAGAAGTGAAGTCAACCTATGTTGGCACTCCGATGCAAGCTTGACACGTAGCAGGCATTGATAGCAGGCTTGTGTGGATGACAGCCAGGTCCTACACGAAACAGAGAGTGCCGCAGCCAAAGACGGAAAGCATTGTTAGGCCCGATCTCATGAAACGAAACGAAACAAAGCTGACTGTCGCTCTGAAGATGAAATATGAAACGACTCAAGGACAGTGGTCCGAGAATGACGCTCATGTAGGGTGTAGAGGGCATCATGCAAAGGCCCAATGGCGTCTCGCCATGTGCATCGTGGTTCGAGGACATTGCCGATGGTGTGGTGATGATGACGTTGACGCTGAGGTGGGACACAACATAGATTTCCGGCGAAGGCAAAAGTCATCGCGATTGTATCCACGCTCTAAGATGGGCTGTTTGTTTGGTACTGAGTTGTCCTACCTGCTCTCCACTGTCAATTCTGCTCCCAATCTCCTCCTCATCTTGGCGCGATTGGCCGGCAAAAACTTCTCCCGGTAAAGAATTTCCCATCCGCCTTCCGCTTCCACTACACTGCATGGCTCCTAATTCCCTGGTCAGTGATCAATTCAAACCACAGGAGCCATCGCCTAGCTCCAGTCCCAGATCCATGCCATATGGAGGAAGCGTACGAGCTGATACCGGCTGCGGTTCCCACGACCGGGCTACAGGAACTTCACGTTCGTTGGGAATATACCGCCATGTTTTCCCAGCTTGCCAGGAGACCTCCTTGACGGCAGTGACTGCTTCTGAGCCCACTATCTCTTCGATCTATTAACAAAGGCACGACTCGGCGTCTACTTCACAGCGACTGTGGCATGTACCACCGCAGCTCTGTGTGGGTACTCCGTAGGCTTCATTGGTGGGGGCCTTGTCCTCCCCTCGTTCCAGCATAATTTCCACCTCGATGACCTTCTCCCTGCAGACAAGGCATCAACCAACTCCCTGACGGTTACAATATTGCTTGTGGGGGCTCTCTTTGGAGGTCCTCTGGGAATGCCAATATGCTCGGGGCCGGCAGGAAACGGTGTCTGAGCTTCAGCGCGGCACTCTACGTCCTAGGAGCTGCTCTGCAACTGGTCAATCATGGAGGTGGTCTTTACCTATTCGACGCTGGACGTCTATTCAGTGGTTGGGTGTGGGTGCTAGTACCCTTGTCATGTCCGGTTACCAGACCGTCATCCAACTCTGTGCCCTTGTAGGCTTCTGGGACGCGTTTGCTTCTCACTCCATCTTCCCTCCACCAACCCTCTCCAATGGCAACTCACCATCGCTACTGAACTCATCACCGGCATCCTCCTCGTCCTAGGCACATTCCTTATCCCGGAAAACCCACGCTTCCATGCCGAAAGAGCGCAATTCAAAGCCGCTGAAGCCTCCCTCTCCTGGCTCCGAGGCCTTCCCCCTTCCGAACCCGCCCTCGCAATCGAACTCGGGAAGATCCACCAAGACGCTCTCGCAAGCTACAAACTGCAGCTCAAATCGCACATTTCCTTACTGAGGCCACGAGACGGAGCGCCTGCAACCGTCTCGCCGTAGGATTCGGCCTGATGATCGCACAAAACATGGTCGGTCTCAACACGCTCAACTACTATGCCCCCGTCATCTTCATATCCGCAGGCTTCACCTCCGTCTAATCCTCCCTCTTCCTCACCGGGATCTTCGGCATCCTCAAAGCCCTCTCCGCCCTCTCCTTCATATTCATCTTCGTCCAGCTGCGCGGGAACGGGTTCTGGCTGAAACTCAGCTCCGGGGTCTGCGGTTTCCCATGCTGGTGCTCGCCCACTTCGTCCGCACCATGCCTCCTTCCCGGCAGGACCCAAACCAAGCCCACGACAACAAAGCCAGCCTCTTAGCTAGACCAGGCGGCGTTATCAGCGTCGCGCTAGTGTGCATCTTCGCCTTCTCCTTCGGCGTCTCCCTCGGCCCCATTTTCTAGAACGTCTGCGCCGTCACCACCTGCACGCAGTGGCCGTTCCAGATCGTCATCGCCTATGTCACGCCGCATCTGCTTGCGTCGCTGGGCTGGGCCACGTATCTACTGTATGCGGGATGTTGCATGGCATTTTTGCTGTGGGTGCAGTTCTGTGTGCTGGAGATGTGCGGCGTGAAGGTGGGTGGAGCGATGGATAGGCTGTTTGGCACGCCGGAGGAGTCGAAGCGGTTAGTGGCCGACTTGGAGGGGACGTGGAGGAGGTGGAGGAGGCGAGTGAGACGACGAGCCTGCTGAGGAGTGAGCATCGCTTGCGGAATGAGCACCAGAGGAGCTCGGTCGGCGCTTAAGCCTGAGAGTACATGGTAAGGACTTGACCCGGGTTTCGTATACCTGATACATAGAGTTTTTGCCACAATGGATCTGATGCAGTTGACTCATTTCAGCACGGAAGCTGTACGTACAACTTAGTCTAAGTTCCCCACATCCCCGTCCCCTGTGATAATGGATGAGAACACAATCATACAAAGACAAGTGACGGCTCTTGATGATGCCCTCTTATTAATATAACAATCGGAAGTCTAGCCTCCGCCTCCCTCGATCAAAAGTCCCTTCCTTTCTTCATCTGATGCACAGCCCGAGCGCCTCAGTACCAGTGCAATGCATTGCAGAGGACTTCGCTCACTCATCCTCGATGTCATCCTCCGAGATATACAACTTCTCCAGTCTGGCCTCCTCATTCTCAACGCTCACGCCCACCCGGGTGCTGCGCATCATCAAATCCTGCCTCTTGGCATCGACACCACGCCAGCTCCCGCTCCCTCCTTTCCGTGGCGAAGCAGAGACGGCCCGATCGGTCGTCTCGTCCGCAGCAGAGAGATCCACTTCTGCAGCTTCGGTACTGTGCTCATCTGCTTCGTCTTCCCCGTTCAATTGAATGCCATGAAGCTGTGTGATCTTCTTGATCTCACGGGTATTCTCTGATTTTAATCGGGCCATGTAGGGCAGACGCTCGAGTAGGACCTCGTCGCGGGTAGCCCACACACGAGGAGGACTTGAATCTCCGTGCGCTCCTTCTTCTTGAGCAGCACCGATATCGTGATCATGTTTTGCAGGTAAGAAGGAAGAGAAACTTCTCGACCTCCATGACTCGACGCCTTCTCCTCTGCTGCCACCATGGTTCGCGGATCCAGGACTGCCGGTGCCTGCAGGAGTCAACATACGACCCATTTCTAGAGAAATAAGATCGTAGATCTCCTCGCTCGGCTTCCATATCTTCAGTGAAGCGGGATAGAACATCTTGAACGAGTCGCCCTTCCTGCCATTTGGATGTGAGGCTCTGCTTACGGGTGATGGTAAGGAAAATAGTAGTCCGCGGACGGCGATCTGAAAGCTGATTTCGTTTTGGCGAAGCATGTCAACGCCGCCGGCGGCTTGTGTAAGACTGCCTCCGGCTCCGAGGTTTGAACGGCACGAACGTGTGAGCTGTCTACTGCTTGGACTGATGAGATCGCTGTCGGAGAGGAAGTCGGTGCAATTTGCCGCTGACTCGGTAAATTGGGAGCCGTTACTTGATAGGATGTAGTTTTCATGTAGGGCAGCTGTGAATGTTTGGATGTCCGTGCCAATCTCGTTGAGCAGTTCGTCAATATCGACTTGTGAGACTTTTGGCCTGTCGAACGCTGACAGGTGATCTGGTGGTTTAGGTGATGGTTCACTTGTTGGATCTGCGATTGGGTGTTCCTCTCTCTTGTTCCAAACGACTTTTCCAACGGCATGGAAAATGCCTAAAGTTGCCTCTCGTTGGGTGACAAGCTCTAGCGAGTCTTTCTCCATACTTGTCAATCCCGAGCTGCTCTTGTTGGACTTCTTTATTTTTGTCGCGGTTGTGCCACCCCAGTCAGAATCAGTGTCACCTCGTACACACAGAAACTCCAGTCCGTTGACGGCACTCCTTACATCACCGAGTTCGGAGAGTCGTTTTAGGACGGCCGGTCCGGGTACCCTCCGTCTCTTGGAAACTCTTGCTTCCTTTCTGATTGCTAGCTCTAATGCTTTCGTGACCAGAGTTGGAGCAATAGGATTGAACTCTAGGATAGTAGCATATGGATGGTTGCACAGGTCTGGTCCAAGAAGCCTGTGAGCTGTGAAGCTATCTGCAGAAGCGGTAGCGGATGTCAACAAAGATTCAGAGATGATCAGCACAAGGGGTGGGTGCGAGGTGAGATTTGATTTTGACTGCTCGAATGCAGCCGAGCGTGGAGGAACCGCGGCTGCAAGATATTGTAAAAGTATGTTCCGAAATGATGCAAGAGCAGAAGAGAATAGAGTCATAGTGCTTGGAAACTCCTCAACCAGTAGTACTCGTTTCTCAAGTTCTGTTGGCGTTGCTGATTGGTCTAGCTGAGACTTGTCGCCTGAAAAGTTGAGAGTCCCAAAGGCCCCGGCCCTATTCAGGAAATCGTCGAATTGAGCGGAGAAGGAATTCAAGCCACTATCAGCAACAGTAGGACTTCTCCATTCTGATATGCCAAACCCCATGGCCTTTGAGAGTAATGACATTGCGGTAGTCTTGCCACTGCCGGCAGGGCCCTTCAAGACAAGTAGTCGCTGCAAGAAAATGTCAATACAGAACTCCTTCGCCAAGTTACAGATAAGGCACACACACACGTCGATCTCGGCCCTGTAAGACAGCACTCAGCCAATTCTGGACATCTGTAACTTTCTTCTTGTGTACAGCCAGCTCATCAAGAGATACAGGTGCAAATCTCTCCGCCCAAGGTCGACTGGAAACGTCATTATCCTGCGCTGGAAACGCCTTGTTCTCTTTTGCTGCTGGTGTCGATGGCTTCGCAAACTTCTGACTTGAGGGAACACCATTTCCGAAAGATTTCAACGCTCCGGTCCGCAAGGTAAGCTCTGCTGCTTTCCTCCGGTCAAGAACTTTGTTCTCATCCGCTTCAGCATTTGCGACTTCGGCAAACGCTTCATCTAGAGAGTCATCTTCTATGTCATCTCCGTTCTCGCCGTCCTCGAGAACCGATGGAGGAGTCTTGTCCTTTCGAGCCCATCGCTGTTCTTCGGTGGCTCTGCCAAAGAAGGTATGTAACGACTTGCTTTGCTTTTTTACTTTAAGGTCCCCTCTGGTTCCCTTCTCAGGAGATGACTTGGGGGTATCCTTTGGGGGATTATTCACTTTCGGCTTCTTAGTTGTTGCATTTGACTGGGTAGACTTTCGTGTTGGAAGTGTCTTCGTGGGCACTGAAGCCAGACGAGGCGGAGCTCTCCGAGTCTTGACCACAGGTTCATCATCGTCAGATAGGATCAATCGACGTTGTCGCTTACCAGGTGGAAGTGTCATTCTGCAAGCATTTGAGCTGATGCTGGGAATGACAATGGCTAGAAGCCATTGGAGTTAAGATTGGAAGTGCCTCCTCCAGAACCTTCAACCAAAAAGCTTCTCTCATCAACATGGTGCAGTGGTTGATGGAAGTGTGCTCACGCCTAAACCTCGGCTAATCTAGTCGGCAGGGCCTTGGCGCACATGGCAGTCACATCATGTTTCTCCCAATTCTCTATTCTCTTCAGTTGCCTTGATACGACTCTCTTCCAACCAACATATTACATGCTAGTGTCTTCAAGACTTTTATTAGGGCAGATATGCAATATCGGGGCCATATCGTTTGATAATTCTATAGATTGTGGTCTATCCCGAACCAACCTAACTAGTGCTAGCGACTTAGGCCCATTGGTTATCCCATAAAGTAAACGGGATATGGCTTATGAGTCGTTTCTATATCGCTGAGGGCGTTGATTTACTCTTGCGAATGGCCCTTGTGGGGTTTTAGTATGTATGGTCCATCTCCATCTGGTCCTGCTTGCCATATCGAGCGAGGAAGTACTTGAGAGTTTAATAGTATTCAAGAGATTTGCGACTCACTTGTTATGCCTGTTGAAGAAAGAGGTCATGTATAAGCAGCTTCCCTGTTCCAGTTGGCCAAAAAGAATATCTCAGCCTGCAGAAAAAATGCAAAACCTTTATCCTGAGCCGTCTAATGAAGACAGGTCAGGATCAGGAGAAACCCTCAATGAAGAGGGATTTTTTCGTATTCGAAGGAAAGGAGGAGGGAGGAGGAGGACTGGTATCTGGCTTCGGGGGGTATGTGCCAGCGTAACAGTTGTTGAGAAGAGGATTCGAACCGTAGGACCTTTGGGAGGGACTGTCGATTTCGTGGCGAGGTAATGGGATTTTAAGCCACTACACCACTGTGCCAAAGGATATTGGTTACTGGCTGCTAAACAATAAAACACATCCCTTTGTGTTGAACACCGGAAATAGGAAAAAAATGTGTTTTGGATTCGAGCCGATGCGGTGCCTCTTCCTCCTCCACACCTCAGTCGGAACCTTTTATCCATCCTCTTCCTCTTCCCTCCCCACCACTCTTAAGCTGTCTGATCGAGCAGCGATTGAAGCATGAGTAGTACCATCTGGCACAAACCGGATGTGTCAGCGCCACCTTGAGGCTCGAATATAGAAAGCACACCGTCCAAGACGGAAAGACATCTTTCTTTCCCACCTGCGCAGCGAAAGACTGCAATTGGGGAGAGGTACAAAAAGCTCGTTGTTTGACAGGCTCCGCGATCTTGTTGCACAGATTCAGCTGCTATGAGCTACCAGGAAGGTCATCAATCGGTCAATTTGTTTGCAGATCTATTTCGGTTTTCTACCGACATTCGATCCAATCATGGTACATTCGAGGCTCATTTGGCACCGCTGGGCTTCAATCCCAGAGACTCGACCCTCGTATTTCTGATAGCGATCGGCAGAGGCGATCTCTCCATATCACTGGCGGCAAAGAACCCATGAACACCATCGTCCTTCCCAAGTTACTCGGCCACCTTGGGCCCGCCAATTGGTCCTCCATGGCAAATTACTGAAACATCCTGCCGGTTCCACCTCCATTTCCTTTGCCCTAACATTCAGACTTGGTAAGACGACTGATCCAATGTCCTCCTCGTCCTCGATCTAGCTGTCCTCGAGCTCGTCAATCTAATATGTGCAACCAATACACCAATCTCAAACACACCGTCTTCTCAGCCCCCTCCGCATTGGACATATACGGCGTCGTTAACAGGTCCACCTGATGCGCTCATCTTATTCTTCTCACGTTCCGTATAGTACTCCGTCTATGTCTCATCCAACCCTTGCTAATTTCCTCTATCAATCAGGCTCACGGTGGCACGGTTGGGATACTCTGCACTCCATACAAATCCGCCTCCTTCAATTCCGGCAAGAACAGGCTCACGAACAGGCCCAGATCCGTCTCTGACATTGACCGAAGTAGCTGGTGAGCTCTTCGGTTGATATTGACGGCCGGCTCGAAAATTCGAGGCTGCGGGTGAATGGACATTCCCATTTGTGGTAGGCGTTGGTGCGTGCAACGTGGTCATGTTTGAATCAAAAGACACAAAGCCTAAGAAGCACAGCAGAGTAAAACTGTGTGAGCACGAACCAGCTGTAAAGGCTTGGGGAAACCAAAATAGGATGTTATATAAATCCCGAGGTCAATCGCAAACAAGCTGTGCACGGATCTCAAGAGATCTGAGGTAGACAGAGTTCTATTACCTTCGCAAGGTTTCAGCATGATTGACAATGGAAGGGCGGCCCCTTCATGACCCAGAAACCGACCAACCGCTCTTCGTGACGCTGGAGGAAAGCCTAAGGGGCTGTATTATCAAGGCAACCAGTCTTCCCAACCATCTCAATAGCGAAGCAATTGCCCAGGCGGTAGTCAAGTCAATGACTGAATTGTTTGGAAAGCCAGTCTCTTCACAGACGCGACCACAGCTGTGGCGAAAGCACTCAATCGATGGAATCGTCATGCAGACCAACGAAGAAAGAGAGAACGTGTATAGCATTGCGATCAGCAGAATTAAGAAATAAGGTAGGGGATATTGTGGTTGATTTCGTACAACCTATAAGCTGGTACGAGGACACGACATCGTGAATTTCGACTGGGGAGGGAGAGTTCTATATCAGCCCAGCTCATTGACTTGTAGGGTGCGTGATATGGGCTTTGAGTAGAGATCAGCAACCTGCTCGGCCGCCACTTACTGGAAGGTCCAGGCGATTCCGTATTGTAATCTTACTAGAGGCATGATGGCACGCTTCGGCGTATGATGAACATTCTCATGGTGAAGATGTAATAGAACAATCATAATAAACTTGTCCACTACACGGATTGTGCGTATCAACTATATCGGCCAAGTAATATGAACACTGCTCACGGTTCACTTCCCGTCTCGGCTTAGGGTGATGCCACTCGAGCTCACCACGGACTCACTCCAATCACCCCGGTCTCGCCCTGACGAGTGTGAGCAAGAGAGAGGCGCAGCTTCCTCGGCCAGGCCTCCCAGGCAGCAACCTTGGCAGTCTGCGTGACCCTTTCGGCCACCCCATCAGCGGTGGGACTGAACTGAAGAACTCGATGACAACGACCTCGAATTCCGACCGAGTGACCGCCGACATACAGCAACAGCTAGCAGTCACGCTAACTGCGCGAATAGCAATGATCTAACGCTATTCAAGGCACTAAAGGGCTCATAACCTGATGTTGGACCAAAAGGACCGCGGCCCTCAGAGGACCGTAAACTAGCTTTTGTCTGAAACCTGATGAACAATAAGATAGATGAACAATCTAACTAATCCTAACGCAGCTGGCGTTGGAGACTCCGCTGCTTAGTCAGCAGCGCCGAGACGCCCCTACGGAAAAGAGGCGCAAACCGAGTGATCCATCACTGTCAGAGGGCTAATAGGAATTGATCCCATTTCGTTTTATCCCCTCACTGGGCCAACCTTCACAAGCGGCGTCCTCGTTGCTCAACCCTAATGAGATCTGAAATGGTGTACCAATGCTATTCCGTGGTGATAATATAGACTGACAATGATGAAAATAGCTCCGAAAATGAGGTTGGGGCGGAGCTCGAATGACGATTCTGCACTCTGACATGAAAACTTGTGCTATCAACGCTCCCAGAAAGGAGGAGCAAAACGAGTAAACCATCAGAGCGCCAATAGGAATTGAACCCTTTTCCTTTTTATCCCCTCACTCCTACAACAGAAATCGCTGGCTCTGCTACCCTGTTGCCTTGCCCGAATCACTTGTTGCATCTTGTGATCACAATGCGCCTTAAAAGTATCACTTGCATCTAAGACCGGGTCTATCATACACCTATCAAGTCGTTATTGGATGTTTGAGCTTGTGGCAATGCCCTCCAAGTTCAATTTCTAATTGGGGATACTAATCCGTCTTTCTACCAACATATCTCAGCCTGATCATCTCAAAGCTTTTTCTTCCAACACACCACGAATATGGTGGCGTGAAGCTGCCGAGCACATTGGTTGTTTAACAAATACTTGCAGGCCAAGCGGCTCGACGCGCAGATAGGCCCTTTCAGCTGTCGAGCGAAGGTCCTGTCCCCGTATTTAAACTGAAGATATGGTAGGCCCCTCGAGTCCGATTTCTCTCCCAAATGATATTCCTACTTCCATCCCACAAGAAAAGTGTGTTACCCAGTGGCTTCCAGTCACCCTTTTTTTGAATGAGTTTTGCAAGTTGAGATGTCGTCTAACTCCACCGATCCCTACCCAAATTACGAAGTGACCAATTCTGAGTGGAATAGCGAAAACTGGTGCTACAATTCTCTCGGGTTGACTGGGTTCTACAATCTTACCAATGACGAGAGCTACAACACCACTTGCTACACAAATTGAAGCCAAATTTGCACAGACCCTAAGTTGTTGCTCAGCTATTTTGAAACCATTCAAGGATGTCTAAATTGGAATACCTTCTCCCGTAACAATCTGATCGTTGCCTCGAGTCATGCAGAGGTCAACCGAACCCACTTGATTGCTATCGACCTACTCAACAGTTGCATGCAAGCATACTGCGATCCTGGAAATATAAATCTGGGCGGATGTCCCTACGAGAATATTTCCATACCAGATGATCAGTGGCAGTCAATAATGGAGCCTTTTGAAAAAAGCTCAGGAGCCTGCGATGTTGTTCGGACTGTAAATTCTGATTTGGGAGGGCCTGGTGTGAGTGACTTCGCCTAGAACATGTGACGAAGACACATAGCTGATTAATCACCAGGTTTTCGTATCCTATATCCTTCAAATCATTTTAGCCTGGGTCATCGCTATATCTGTTCTCTTGATAAGGCGGTTCAACTTCTACAAGTCACTGCGTCGAAAGCTTTCAATCGAGAACAACACTTCATCTAGATCAATAGCGCTCGAACAGAACTCGCCTCTTAATCTAACGTTGTTAGAATATAGAGAGCTTCCAAAGGGATCAAGCCAGGATCACCCATCTTCTGAACGCAAAGGACTTCCTGAGGATCCTGAGGAACCCAACGCGGGATGTGCAATTATGAAAGATGTGATAGCCGAGTTCCAGGAGTCTCAATGCTACTTTATTCTTGCCACTCATACGGCAGCTTTTGTAGCCATTGCTCGCGGTAATTTATTCGCAGCTACTTCCTTCAAGCAAGCATCAGCAAGCTGCGACTTCATCTTGGTCATGGCCGAGGTTTCGACCGTGATGAACTACTTGGGAATCATAATGTGTTCCATAGTAGGCATGTCTTCCATGTGGATCCGGATTCTGACTATATTGTCGCTGCTCTTCTCACTTATCGCCATGGGCCTGACTAGTCAACAGATGGGCCACTGCTTTACCAACAGCAAGATTGAAATCACTCCTCCTGTGCCAGCTTGTGGAGGTCACCCACCACCAAACACATACTGTGGGTCCCTTTCACCTGCTGATTTATACGCACGGCCAGACATATTTAACCAATTGTTCGACTTCTGGTCTCCGTTCGTTCTAACCGCATTCTGTGTTATTTTCCTGAATTTCTTGGCCATCTTGTTTCATAGACATGAGGGGCACAAGTCCACTTTCTTTCGTAAATATTTACAGCCAAAATGCATCCACTCTTTCACTAAATGGCTACAAGCAAATTCCATTTCGATTCATGAGCGTGTGACAGCTTTTCATCGACCTCTAAAGGCTCGTTACCCAGCATATCGACTCGTTTTCGACTTTCAGCATTGGCTGTATTTTATTTTGTGCATGTTGTATATTGTTACTTGTTTCATGCTCTATGTTCTAAGTACACTCTCTACATCTGACTACGTTGATTTTAAACGCTGGGGAATTGGCCAAATTATTGCTGTTTTCGTCTGGGTACCAGTTGTTGCGCACTGGATTCGCTGGTTTCTAAGTAAGTCACTTCTTTCTTTCACAGTTTTGTCCTGTCCTCCTTCCTTCAATGGTTTGTTTCTCCTCTATACTAACAAATTTCTGCACAGATGGCGGTACAGACTGCTATTTGGAATGTCGAAAGATACGAAGCGAATTACTAGAGAGAGGCACGGTTTCGATGACAGATGAGAGTCAGGCTTGGTGATCAGAGCCGTTACGTACTTTTCTTGTGTTCAACATTCTGTCCTTTTGGCTCAGTGGGTTAACCACTTATGGTGGTATGGCATACCTGTTACAATCTGGAACGGATAATCCCTGTTGACTGGTATCTTCTCGTATGTTAATAGGGTGCTATACTGAAGGTCATAGTCAATACTGAATTAACCATTCTGGCGAGCAGAAGGGAAAGCTTTTCATTCTTATATCACCTAACATCGTAACATAACATCTTGGTTGGTTTTTTGTCTTTTTCACATATCTGTTATAACTAGTGGCGAATTTCGTTATGCTCCTTATATGTCACTTTTTTCTAGCTATAATCGGCGGTCTGAGTGATTAGATCGTCTACAGTCGATTTGCGGTCCTTTATGACGGCCTTCAGGGCGTGGTGACACTAAAGATCGAGAAAGCTATAAATAAGGTCTCTAAGAGTATTAGAATATAAGGAAAGAGAGGAAAGTTGAAAGAGAGGAGGCGCCAGGAGAGCAGACGCCGGGGGGGGTAACACTGGGCCGCTCGCAGTAGGCAGCGTGGTGGCCCAATAATGGGCAGCCAACCTGGAGCAGCATTCTGCAGGGTTCACCCACGAATCACCCGCGAGCCATGAGGGCCGGGTGAGCGGTGGGTGAATTGGTGATAAAAGTGGTATCGAGGGAGATGCGGAGCAGATTTCAGTCTCCTTGTGTTGCCAAGCCAAAAGCGACGCACCGCAAGCTTATGTAAGACCACGACCCCAACCTTAATCCATAGCGACCCATCCTACTTTACAAGATTTGAACCTCTCGGTAGCGGGCCAATATGGCAGAAAACATCCCCCCGGGCTCAGCAGGCAAAGCGGCCGCAACCTCCGAATCCACCACCCGGGGCCTCCCTTACTATGAAAAACTACGGCGCGACCTCCGCGACACACTCCAAAAGAAGCGTATACTAGACAAGAACATGGTCCGTCCAAGTCCACCATACATGACCACCCCTCAATACAACCCACTAACCAAAACTGCCCCCCATCTAGGCAGCACTAGAAGAGCAGATCTACCGGCAAGAGACGTCGTACCTGGAAGAAACCTCCGCCGCAGGCAACATCATCAAAGGCTTCGACAACTACATCAAAAGCAGCGCCATCAGCAGCACCGGCG